AATGGGCAAGGGTTCTGCTAACTAATTCCGGGTTGGGCTGTCGGAAGTCAGTCACTGGGATGTGGTGGTAAGTTGGAGAGTTTCGGGATGCAGGGCTGCAGATTTCAAGATTTCAAGTTGAGGTTAATCAAAGTGTGGCTGCGGTTCTGGATGTGATGCTTGAAGCGGCTCTGGACGGACGTGCAGCCTACTCAATGAACTTTGGTAGAGACACAACCTTCAGGATTTGGACCCCAGCACCCGAAGGACAGCCAGAACACAGAATCCGAGCCAGCAGATACTCGAAACACAATGCTGGATGCACGCGCCGTTTTTTGACGCCTTGAGGCAGCGTGCGAGTGCGGAAGTCGTGAGCGCAGAGTGAACTGCACCTGGGTCAATCGAGCGCCACAGGCAGGATCAGCTTCCTGACCGACCTGGAAGCGCCAGAAGAATCAAAGCGATCTAAGCGAAGCAGAGCCTCTTGACAGCCTTGCCTGCGCATTTTGCTGGCTGGCGGTAACTGGGCGACCCAATGCGGGGGAGGGAGGGGGGTTATTGGGGGCCTCATGCTTTTTTCGCAGGCACCTGCAAGCAAAGGATCTTGCAGGAGGTGCGGGCTCTGGAGACTGACGCAGGGCGCTGGGTCTCAGCCCCAGCTCTTCCCCCCCCCACAGTGCATGGCCGGTGTGTGGCCAGGCTTACCCGATACGATGAAGTCACCCTTATCTCAAGCCTTCAGACATAGCCAGGCTGAACAGTGTCGCGACAGGGACAGCTGCGGATATCTGTGGGTCCCTAGCAAGGCGTCACCGGCACAGAATGGGGAGTCATCGCCAGATCTCTCTTGCGCGACTAGGAACACGTTCCAGCAACTTGGGATGGCAGCGATCCGATGAAGAAGGCCTTCTTCTTCAGCTGCTTTGGATTTGCTTCAAGAGGCATCAGCCGCTCAGTGTGTCTGGACACTTGCATTGGTGACTCAAGAGGCACTAGAGGGCGCGCGCCGCCCACAGGGGTCTGGTATGCACAACTGAAGATACGAAGATGGGCGTTGCCCATCACCGGCTTGCTGGCGGCTACAGCGCAGGAATATGCGACGGCAGGTCCTGTTGGCGGATTCGAACAACCAAATCGAAACTTCCTGTTAACACTTCTGCCTTGAATGGACTAAAGCCGACATGCAGCACGGCGCCGGCGAGCCGCTATGGCCGCTATGAGCCCTGAAGCCTCCCGGGCTTGCAGGGCTCAGAGCTTGCCGTCATCGGACAGCGGCTTTCTCATGGAAACTCTCGCAGTGGAGGCCGAGCCACTGTGCAAGATGGGCGTGTGCATCACGGGTGCCGCATGGACCACCTGCCCGAAGATGTTCCTGGCCGGAACGGGACCACTGCGAAAACGGTCACGCCCATTAAAAAAACGCAACCCTCGCGCCGTAGGCTGGGTATCGAGGGGTTTATGCTGAGATCTCGGGTGGAACGCGATGACTTCTCACAGCAGACATAACAAGGCCGACAATTATCCGGAGTCCGTGCCCTGGCTGGTCGAGCAAGTCGGTGGCCCGTGGCTCAAGTCTAAACGTGGTCCAAGGACCAACTGAGTCCCCGGAGCTGTCGTCAGAGCACTGATGCTCGCAGGACTCTTCTCCCATGCCTTTAAACTAGCTTGGAGGAGGAAAGGCAAAGATAAGGAGGATAAAAGGCGCTTCTTCTATGGACCGTCATGGGACAGCTGTGACAGTATCGGACCTTCGACACCTGTGCTCTCTCGGGGCCTGCCCGAAAGCCGGAATGAAGAAGGGACGACAGCCCGTCAGCGTCGCATCGAACAAATGGCCCACATCGTGAATTTCCCTTCTCTGCTGCTGCAGCTGCAAGCGCCTGAAGATCGTCTCCTGAGCCTGGTCTCCCTTCTTGAAAGCGGGTGGGAAACGCTTTGACGGCGACGCAACCGGCCATCTCCGACTGCTGGCCACGTGTGCATGACCCTTGGGCCCTACACTGCCCGACGGTGCCGGAAGCACGCGCAAACGAGTGACGAACGTCCATCTTGGCGAAGGAAGACGCAGCTTGCTTCTGCTTGCAAGCCTGGTATGAAATCCAGCAGAGGTCAGACAGTCAAGGGCAACCGGGTCGGTATAGTGGGGCATGCAGCCGGGACGAGAAGCTGCGATAGGAGCATCTGCGAGAATCACCTCCAACGCAATGCCTGGTGCCTTTCGCGACTTTCGCGGCGCATTACCAACAAAAACCGGCATGACTCTGACCTTGACTTGGTAGCAAACAGATGCAGAACGGCCCGTGAGAGAGCCCTTGCCAACGGCGCAACTCACCGGAGGAAAAGAGCTCGATGTCTTAGGGGTCGATGCACCCAGTGCTGGCAAAGGCGGGCAGATGGAACCGCGCCATCACACATCTGTGACCTCAGCCGCTTCCCTTCTGCACCATGAGACCGTGATCTATCAACCCCAACTCCTGGAATGTGAAGGACGTGGGCTGAGGCGGCCGAGTGTTCTTGAGCTGCAGAAAGGGTGTGGCCAAAGTGACCGAAGACACCGACCGGAGCTTTGAGGTCCCTGAGGCTGTCAGGCCTGGCCCGAGCAAACGGTTGCAGTTCTTGTCGTGACTCCAACACAACAAGGGCCCGAAGAAGGGTGCCTCGTTAATTTCTGGAGCCTCAAGGGGACAAGGGTTGGAAGCTTCTGACGGCAAGGGGAAGCCTTGCGAATGCTGCAATGCTTCGACGGATGCCAAAGAAGGGTGGACAGCAGGTATGCGCTGAGAGTGCCTGTCCTGACTTCGGGCCTCGCGTGTGCGCCAGCAACCTGACTTGCAGCTCTT